AACTTTGTGACAAGGTGCATTTTTCTGCAGGAATCAGCCATCAGAACATAGGCACACTGTGGCAATAAAGAGATGGAGAGCAATGACTAGTCAGCAGCAATACTCAGGTAGGCTGTGGCAATGAAAGGATGCTGAGTTGGGAAAGTGCGCCAAGAAGATTTGCCCAGCACTATTACACCACCAGCAGCCTGAACTGTTGAAACACGTCAAAACTAATGCATGTGTTCATGTTTAGACTAAACTCTGACTCTACTGTCTGCAGGAGAAATTGAGTTATCAAACCAGGCATTTTCTAATTTTCTATTGCCCAATTTCAGTGAGTCGTGATGTCAATCGTAGCCTCGGTTTTCTGTTCTTAGATGATAGGCACGCCACCCAGTGTGGTCTTCTGCTGCTTCGAGGTCTGAAGTGCATTCCTCAGTTGTTGCAGGTGGTTATTTAAGATATTGTTCTCAATGCTATAAACAGCAGTCTGTTCGTTCTCCTCTCGCTGGATATTTTCTCATTTTCAGGCCATTCTCTCGAAGCCCTAGAGATGGCTGTGTGGGGTAACGCCTGGAGATCAGTTTCAGTTCATTTTGCAGCAGTGAGTTGTAGAGAACCTGATATTTATAGAGCAAATGAATAAATCAGAGCTGAAAGGAAAAACAGTAAATGTCAGACTATCAGTAATCAGGTGGACAAGCGTGCAACTCCAATGTAAAAACAGCCAGTTGTTCACTAATATGTTAGCCACATTCAGCTAACAAAGCCACTTCTGGCATGTGTAAGCTGCACCCAAGAGAAAAATAATAATAAATGCAGTTTTAGGGAGAAACATGATATTCATGGAGAGAAAAATAACCTCAGTTTGTTACTTTGTTGTGTCGTGCACATAAAACGCTGTAGTGCGGAGACATTTGTCAGTCATGGACATAACTTCTTACATTACAGGCAAACTTCTCTGCAATAATAATAACTCATTCACTTTGCCGCACTTCACAGTGTGTCGGGTGTAGATTTGCTGCTTTTGGGACATGTGCTGTCTAACGATGCTGATGTTCACACGCCACGGTTTGCATGAAGTATTACCTCCAGCAAAGAGGAAATGGGATTTTTTTCTGTTTATCCATCAGTTTTACTAAAAGTGGAGTCTGGCTTAACATAGAAATTATTTAGATGTGGATACGGAAACTTTTTTACAGCTGCAAGACAGGGCAAGGTGCGAGAATATCTAAATCTTTGCAACCATGTATCAAACTGAAAAAACATAAAACAGAGCGATCACCTTGCTGCTCTGAAGAAGATATCAGAGAATAATCTGGATTCGTGGACTTAATTCAATTGAAGGTGTGCCGTCTCGGACTGGTCTTGTTTGTCATGGCAATAAATCAAAAAGAAAAAGGTACGTTCAGGAAGATTTTTATATAACATTGTCTGTTTGGTCATGCGTTCCAACAACTCTGACTTACCTGTCATGCTCTGATCTCCATTCTCTATTATGAGTTGTCAGTACTCGGGGGAATGTACTTTCCCTTGTCGTAATAACATTTCAGCTTGTTAA